GTTCCGCCAGCTGCACGACTACCAGACCATGCGGCCGGCGCAGTCGCTGGATATCAGCCAGCGCGGGCTTTTGGCTGCTGCCTGGGGCCCTCACGTCAGCATCTGGAAGGACGCGCTGGCGACGAGGGTTGACAAGCCCTACATGACGCAGCTTGTGCCCGGTGCGACGCTGAGCTCGGTGCGCTTTGTGCCCTACGATGATGTCCTCGGCTACGGCCACTCGGACGGCGTGTCCTCGATGGTCGTGCCTGGCGCTGGCGAGCCCAACTTTGACGCCTATGTGGCCAACCCCTACCAGACCACGAAGCAGAGACAGGAGACCGAGGTCAAGCAGCTTCTGGACAAGCTGGCGCCCGAGACCATCCAGCTCGACCCCACGTTCATTGGCCGCCTGGACCCGCGCAGCAAGGCGCAGATGGACCATACGCAGCTGGAGGAGCAGCGGTCCAAGTACGCCACAGACAAGGCGGCCGGCCGCTACCTGGACAACGAGGTCAAGAACAAGATGAAGGGCCGCAACTCTACGGCCAAGCGTTTTGCTCGCAAGCGCCAGTCCAACATCACCGACCTCAAGAAGCTGCAGGATATGGAGCGCATGGACCGCGAGCTGCGCGAGGCCGCAGAGAGGGCCCGCCCGGTGCCCGAGGCCGAGAAGGGCGCGCTGGGCAAGTTCTTCACAGACAAGCGCAACGAGCGCAAGTAAACCACGTATCTCATTTTATTTATAAATCAAAAACAACCTTTACTTCTCCTTCTCCAGCTCTTCTACAAACTTCTTGATCACTGCTGGCGTCTGCATGCCAATGAAGGCTGACACGGGCTCTCCCTTGTGGAATGCCATGACGGTCGGCAGCGAGGCGATGCTGTAGTCGCGCGCCAAATCCAAGTTCTCGTCAATGTTGATCTTGGCCAGCTTGACTTTGCCGCTCTCCTCAACCGCAGCTGCCAGGATGGGCGCCAGCATTTTGCACGGCTTGCACCAGTCGGCGTAAAAGTCCACGACTACAGGCTGTTCAGACTTAAGGACATCCTTTTCGAATTCCGCTGTCGTTGTTTCGAAAACACGGCCTGACGTATAGTGCCTCTGCCTGAGGCTGCGTGCCAACATGCCCAGCGGACGCCATGATGTTTTTGCACCTGTAGTAGCAAAGGAAAGGAGCATTTTTATTGGCTTTATTTTATTTTACAATTCGCGTCGAGAATTCGTAAGAGGGAAAAATAGAAAATAGAAAATACCAAGAACAGGTTGTAATAGATATTTGCTACTTTTCAAACCTTATCTCTAAACGAGGGGAAAGAAAATAAAAAATTTAATACTTGGCCTTAAGGGTTCAAAATCCAAGCGTTAAAAGCCGTCTAGTTTAACTGGCCAATAGGGATCGCTCGAGGAAAAAGGGTGCTTTTATTTTTTCTCAGCGACCCTTGCACATGATTCCTTTCTACATTTTATGGATTTGCCTTTTTTCCACGCACTTTGCGACAAAGACCAAGTCTTTATATAAAAGGCTCGGCATTTCCTTTGAGAAGATACAAAAAAATCCTTTATTATTATAGCGCCCAAGCCTTTTCAATTAAAGCTGCAAAGTAAAATTTTATTTTTAACATGCCGCTTATATATTTTTTTTTAAAAAACCGCCCAGCCAGCAAAAAAATAAGCGAACAAAAAAATAATATGGATTTTATTTTTTGTGCCCTTTTACTGAGGCTGTGGAATTTCTTTCATAGAATTACATATAAAGCGGCGCCCCTGCGTCCCGACCATTTTTTATTTTTATTATCCACATCACGCCCACAACATTCATTTTACATCATCTAAATACTCACTTTTTGCACTACCTTTTTTGCACTCATTTCCACACAGCATTAATACCACTGTTCTTTTTTAAGTTCCAAATTAACAAAGCTTTATCCCATCAACTGCACGCGCTCATTCACCCGCTTTCTTCAATCTTTTTCAACTTGTATTGACCACGTTTAAAAAACTCGAATCTATTTTTTTGCATCTTTGCATCTTTTTTTTGCTCTTCAGCCCACACTTTAACCAACTTTAACTTTTTAGTTCCAGCACGACAATGAAGAAGGGATATTTCTCAAGAAGGATTTTCGTCACCGGATACCCGGGAGCCGTCACGCACGGAGAGCTCATGACTCAGTTTGAAGAGTACGCCATCACATCGATTTGACATTAATTTTGCTTTGTTCTGAACTGCATTGTATTGCATTTGCTCATGTCAGATTGAACACCAAAATTAGACAATTTAATCTAACCAATATACTTCCACACTTCTTCACATTTGTTCTATCTAATTAGGTTTGGAAGAATTGTCGGCACAAAAATGATAATGGCCAACGGACTTGACGAATTTCCGTAAGTATTTTTCTATTGATTTGTAACGCGGAAACCGCACACATACACACAACGAGTCATTGCAAAATGCAATTAATGGCGTATATATAAAAACATACGGTTTCTAATGATACACGCACATAAACAATCATTTATATATTAATTGTAGATATTCATTCATCGAGTTCAACACATCTATCGATGCCACCAGTGCTCGCAACAAAATGCACCACGCGCTTGTTCGTGGACAACGTCTGGAAGTGCACTTTGATTCCAGAATACCACCCCAATTCCGCCCCCACCTCGATGATCTTAAGGATTTCGTAGAGCCGTCTCGCACTCCTCCTCACCAATCGCGAATTTCGCTGCCTCAACAAGTGAGAAGATCAAGCCAAGAAAGCATCGGCAACGAATCAGTCGCCGCCGGGCCGAGCCCGCAATCATCCCCGGACCGTGCTGAATTCCGCCGCCCCACATACCCGATTGACCGCCGCCCAACCACAGAATCGCATAAATTGGCTGGGGGGCCTCCAGAATCCCGCGGTCGCTACGAGTCCGGCGGGTACCAAGGCTCCAGTGAGCGTCGTTGGCCTTCTAGCACCCATGAACGCGCAACAAGTGGGCCTGCACGCCACCAACGGCCTTACTCCCGTGGCAGTGCAACATTAAGCAGTGGCCCCACGCACTACCAAAAAAGACCGTACACTCGCGAAAAACCAACATATCGGCCAAGCGAGTACCAACGCAATGGCCCTCCTTCTCAGTACGGCCACCCACGCAACAGCCGTAACGCCCCTCCTACGGCACGCCAATTGTACCGCGAAGACTACCCTGCTCGTGAACGGCGTTATGAAGAGGAAGACCACCAAGTATCCTACAATGACTACCCTAAAGAACGCAGTCACTCACCGGAATACCGTCGTCGCGGAGAAGAAGAACACCGCAGACCCGAAAGTCCTGAAAGTGGCAATGGGTACCAGAGTGGTGAAGAATATGGTAATATGACACCACCCAGAGACAAAGAAAGATCACCTTCTGTGTCACCAAAGGTTGAAAGAGACAATTCACAAACCAGCACAGACTTATATAAAAACGGTGGCAAATGGCAGAACAGCAACAACAGCAGCCCAAGGGATGCCAAAAAAAGGGACGACCATAATGATGACACGTTATTCATTTCTCCCGAAGTCCGTCCCAGAAGCGATATAGAATAATTTATAGTATGTCTTTTTTCGCTCGTATTAGTTATTTTCTTTTCTTTTCCGTTTTTATCCCATGTATTTTCGTTTAATTTATGTTTTATTTTATTATGAGCTTGAAAAATTGATGTGATCATAATATTGTAAATACAATTTAATATTTATCTGGTCATATATGCCACAGCTTAGACACATGGCTTTGCATGTTGCCTTACTGAGATTAATTGATTACGCGCGTGGCAATTAAGAAATAATGATAAGTTTTTATTATAGTTTATTTATATGCCAAGGATAACATATAAACGGTGTAGCTATCGGGCAGCCAGGAATTGTTCTTGGACGAAATAAATATCCTTTTTGATTTATACCCCTTTGTAACATATATCTTCTATTTTTGTTATCCTATTACAATGAATGATAAGAGGCGTAGCGTGCGAATGGTTAACGTGTGAGTTAGCCGCAAGCATATATCCAAGCCGTACAAACAGCAACATCTGCTGAGAGGAGCAAAGCCATTATTGGAAATCGATTATTGCTTGGAATTGCCAATTAAAATTTCGATTAGTGCAGCATTGATGGGAAAACGGTGGCATATATTTATTGCCATCCCATTCATGTGTTGAGATAAATTGAATTATTTTGCATGCGAATTGTTAACTACTCAATTTTTGTAGTGATAAAATTGCGTTTAGGGAAGCCCCTGTTGCGCAGACTGAAGATATGGAAGTGGATGTTGAGGTCGAGAATTGCGAAACAGGTTTCCACCTGCGTGCCGATTGATAGGACGCTAATTGGATAACGCAGGCGTAAATTAGGGAGGCATTACATTGATGCCCAAACATGCTCCCCATTTTGCAATGCACACGCATGAGCGTACACGCACGAAAACCACAACATTGACTTGCCAAGACACCGGTCTGCTCGCAGAAGATCCAGCTCTCACCAACGGAGCGCACAATTGATAATGTGCACAACAAAGGCGACGAGACACATATATAAGATGAGGCTGGCCCTAGTAATATTTTAGAAACATCAGTAATAAAACCTTTTATAAAATCACCCCTAACTTTTAACACTAGACAACTAGTGCTCCTCACACCCCCCTCTTACTATAACAATACAGTCACATTGTTTGTATGCTTGCTGTCATCTCTTATTTTATATTTATTTTTACCAACGCTCTCTTATCAACTAAATACAAAATTAAGCACAACGCAGATTAAGCTGGACAAGTGCCCAATAAGTTGTACATGTGTTTCTGTTTGATGGCTGTTGCACATGATCAGCCAAAACACAGACTAAATCAGTGGCTGCAAAAGTGCATGCAAACTGAAATTATGCAATTTAATATTCTAATATTATCTGATTTTTTCGAGCGATATTTACAAAATTCATTCTCTTGGCTTTCAGTCTAATTTTTGTAATTAAATTTTCAATGGAAACTTTGGGGGTGTATGTACAGTGGTTTTATTTTCTGCCATGATGGGTGGCAAAGACAAAAATTAGCACAGTTAAAAGTAAAGTGCCATCTAAAAAGCATCGCCGCGCAAATTATAGCTGTTTAGAGCCCATAGAGCTTCGAGTACAAAATGTCGTTGGACGCTCGGAGATATTTGCAACTGGTTGTCATGTTGTGGGTTTGGTACATGCGCTACTCTTTCTAGCCATGCCCGTGTTGTGATTTTGTGAGGAGCCCATCCAGACGCCGGCAATCCGGAGAAGGTACATGGGTAAATCCCACCCTCCTCCCATTCCGCCGCCTCTGATTTCAGGTCTTAGGCGTGTCACCAGTCGGATTCATATTGAACAAATGTTCTGTGGGCCCCCGTATATACCACAGTTACGGGACTTACGGAATGGAACCGGCCCGATTTTTATTATAAGGGTGTTCTTTAGGTCCCCTTATATACCCAGACATCCCAGACATGACATTGATGAGACCAGTTGCAGATATCTTACCGAGTGTTTACTAGACACATATTATTTTTTTGTAATGCACAAATGAGCGTGGCTGTAGCAGACGGCGGATATAATATATGGGCCAATGTAGTGCAATGGATGACGCTGGGCGAGAACTGTTGTATGTGTGCGATCCCCTCCCACAAAAGTTGTGTATTGTGAACTGATAATCCATGTTAAAGTCGAAGTTGATTCTGCTGTGTGTGTGTACTGTAGTCGTGATGTCGTAATGTTAGGAAAATATGTGTGCGTATTAGAAAAAGGTGGTAGTATTTTAGAGGAAGTGGTGGTTGTTGGGAGAGAAATAGGGAACCAAAAAATATCTTGAAAACTGGGCGCTCCTTTTATATGAAATAAGACATGCGAATAGATGGAGAAAGGCAGTAAATAAGCCCTGCCAATTGAAAAAAGTTGGAAAAATGAAAAACGCAGTGGGTTCTAAGGTTTGCCAGCCTGAAATATGCTTTGCACTCTTTCTGTGCACCAAGAGGCTTGCTTCGGGTAATGAAACACCTCGAAACTGTCAAAAATGGCATCAGCATAAGCGTCGGCGCGCACAACAGCAGTGGCAGCAATGGCAACCAGGGCAAGAGTGGTGAATGAGAAGGGCTGCATGTTGAAAATGATGGTTGCTGGTAAATAAAATAAAGATGTTTGCAGTTGTGAGTAAAAAAAGGAAAAGGAGCAAGAGTGCCTAAAGAACTATCAACTGAAGATTCGAGAAACCATGTCTTATTTATACATGGGATTTTTAGCAACAATGGAAGTAGCATCCTGTACATGTCATTGCTGGAAATGATTCATCATTTTGTGATCATGCTTTTAAAGCACTGACATCCAATGCTATTCAAACCAGTGTGTGAATTGACTCCAGATATTTCACAGTTAAGTATTGGTTGATGACGATCAACTGATTAACCAGTCTTGGCTGTTTAGCAACACAAACAATAAGTCACACAGTGACCAAAGCAATATGCTTTCTACTCTTTACCTTTCATAATGCATAGCACTTATTTATTAAATATATTTTATATCATTATAGTTCATCTACACGTTCATCTACACGTTTCCTATATTCCAACAATACTTTATTGCCAGTCGTGCAGCTAATTCACATTGTGCATTGTTTTTAATGTGCAAATATTTAGCATAAAATGACAAGACAATACTATTCATGTATCAATGGTGCTACTTTTGTAAACAAAAATGCGTTGCACTCACAAACCACATTAACTTTTGCAGAGTAATCAAAATGTATGTTGGCCAACATATATTTTCGGGTATAAATTAAAAATTCGCCAAATACCTTATTCCAATATTTCTACTAAATTACAACTTTATGTTGTTATGCAGCCCGAGGATATGGAGGTAGATACTGAGGGCAAAAATCATAAGACAGACTCTCGTCAGCTCATAGATGGATCTTATATGGGCCAAATTACAGGGGATCAAATTAGGTGCCACAACTGACATCCGGACATACTGCCTGTCCCGAAATGGATATGCTGGGCGCAAGAATACAGACATGCCAATTATGCCACATCAGAGGCCCGGGTTACTTTCATAATGATCAGTTCTCGCAAACGGCACACACAACTGCCAGTGAGTGCCGCAAGGACAAGGAGATATATATAAGGCGAGGCCGGCGATAATAGCACTTTAGAAACACTAGTAATAAAAACCTTTATAACTTTACACCCGTTATTTTAACACTATTACAGTAGTGCTCCCTATCCCCTCTTACATAAAAGTGTGTATATAATAGTAAGGGGTAGCAATAAAATAAAGTTATTTTCTATCATTGTGTTTGCTGCCTTAGCCGCCACTTTTTTTTTCAGCACTGGTTGATAAACAATGGCTGACCCTGAATTGGGTTAAACACTATGGCGATTTTGAGGCTGAGGAGTTTGTATCCGCACATCTATTATTTGTTGGTTTCACACGCCGCGCATATCTATATATCAACTACAGCTTGGTTTACACCAAGAATTTATATCCAATCCTACGAATATCTGCAGGGGGTTTATACCAGGAACAAAAAAAGACATGTCCAAATAAGATGAAAATACCTATACTGTTGAATTCTGGGAGAGACATTCTGTGAACGTGTAGAGATAAAATATTATGTATAAAGGTGCATTTAATATATGTGCTATGCACTGGAAAAAAAGTGAAGAAGAATATATATAACTGCATGGTCACTGTGTGCTACTTATTGATGGTTGTATGTTTGGCTGGAATAGCCAAGGCTGGTTAATCAGTTGATCGCCATCAATTGATAAAAACATTAATTTTTAATTAATTTTTAGTCAAACTAACTGATCAATACCAGGTATCCTCTGCAATACTGAAGCCATTAAAACATCTACAGTATATTTTTTTAAAAAAAATTTAATTTAGACATTTGTTATAGTAAGAGGGGGGTGTGAGGAGCACTAGTTGTCTAGTGGTAAAAGTTAGGGGTGATTTTATAAAAGGTTTTATTACTGATGTTTCTAAAGTACTACTAGGGGCCAGCCTCATCTTATATATGTTCCCAGTCGCCTTTGTCGTGCACATTGTCCATTGTGCGCTCCGTTGGTGAGAACTGGATCTTCTGCGAGTAGACCGGTATCTTGGCAAGTCGATGTTGTGGTTTTCGTGCGTGTACGCTTATGCGTGTGCATTACAGGATGGGGGGCATGTTTGGGCATCAGTGTGATGCCTCCCTGATTTGCACCTGCATTATCCAATTAGCGTCCTATCGATCAGCGCGCAGGTGGGAACTTGTTTCGCGGTTCTCGACCTCAACATCTGCTTCCATATCTTCAGTCTGCGCAACAAAAACGTCAAGACCAGTGTCGCCAGCGGCGGTCTCATTCTGCTCGTGGAATACGTCGGACCTTAGCCGCCTGGCTCGGCTCGGGGGGGAGGGTGACTGGTCATATATGGGCAGTGCCTCCCGGCCATCCGGGTGGTGCTGCACGTCCTCCGAGCCTGCCTCCGTGAGCGCTCGACTTCTCTTGACCGGCCGGCCGGGCACGATCTCAGCTGTCGGCAGAGCCGGTTTCCTGGTCAGCAGTGCACCCGCGGGCCGTGTCACAATCACCTGATCGTAGGCCCGCGTGTGTCCCATGACTTGAGCGTCCTCGCCTTCTGGGGCTGTGCTGCCGTCCTCGTCGGAAACGAGAGCCCCGCCAGCCACATCTTCGCTATCGTCTCGGCTGTCGTTCACGTATTCTTCTTCTTCCTCTTCTTCACTCTCAGTGTCATGCTCATCCACATATGGCTCTTCAGCGGCTCTTGCAAGCAGTCCCTCGTAGGGCCCGGTACTGTCGCCGTCGCCATCATCCTCCATTTCGGATACGTCCTCAGCGACCACTTGGGCTGTTGGGACCTCTAGTCTGCCTGCTGGCTGGTGGCGGATCTCTGTCAGGAAGGATCTTGCTTCGCTGTTGTCCATGCTGTCCGGCGAGCCCGGCGACTGTGGGGGTGGTGTGAATGGTCCCACCCTAATGTGTGCGGGCTCCAAAGCGACTTGAGGGGCATCCTCCTCTTCCTCTTCGAGTGTGGTTGGGTGCCAGGGCGCGAATATCCTGGGGTGGGCCTGGCCCATGAACTGTACATGTGACTCGGGCGGGGAACCAACCGCCGGCGTCTCCGGCCATGAGTAGCCCGGGTCCGACGGGAGGGATATCAGCATTTGGGCCCTAGCTTCGGGCATTTGAGCGTATGCTCTTGGGCGCGGTGCCGACGGCCCTGGGCTGCCCCCGCCGAGGCCCGTGCCGCCGTCCCCGTACTCGCTGGTCGCCCACTCTGAGTCCGTCCACTCTGAGCCTGATGGCTCTGATCTGCGGGCGATCTCCGCGATCCGTTCTGAGGCTCCATGGTGGTACCGCGTGATCGCGTCGCCTGGTACAATGCGATGGAAGGGCTTGCCGTCAGCATAGGCCAGGTGGTAGGAGGTCTTGTGCCGCGACACGACTCGGAACGGACCCAGGCGGCGTGCAAACTGATCTGCCACTGAGCTGGCCTTGGGGAGTGCACGGCAGGTCACCCACTCACCCGGCTCAAACCAGATGGGGTCGATGCCTCTGTTGTCCCTGGCGTTGGCACGCTGGCGGACCATTTTGCGGTGCTCAGCTGCTTGCTCACGTATCATCTCGGTGATCTCCTCCTCACTGGGGGGGCTCTCACCCTCAGGGAACTGGGCGTATGCTGTCGCTACACGCACCGCAGGCTCGCCGAAGAAAACTGCCGCCGGGGTGTTGGCGATGGCCTCCGAGCGCGTACAGGCGTGTGCAGCTACAATGCGCGGGATGTGCTGCGTCCAGCCCTCCTCGTCCGGCTGATCGGTGAAACAGCATCGCAATGACTGCTTGAATTTCTTGACTGCGGCCTCAGCCAAGTCAGACTGAGCATGGTACTGGGCGGTTGTGATGTGCGTCACGCCCTCCCTGCTCAGGAAGTCCTCAAAGTCATGGGACACGAGCTGCGGGCCGTTGTCCGACGTGAGATATTTTGGCTTTCCGTAGGTGCCAAACCACTCGCTCTCAAGGACATCGGTGAGTGTTGCTGTTGTTGTGTCGTCCACTGCATAGATCTGCATGAACCCGCTCGCACTGTCAACTGCTACTAACGCATCCTGAGGTGCTTCTCCTCTGTCCCCAATGTGTAGCAAGTCGATGTAGACATGTTCGAGCGGCTTTGCAATGTACGACATGATCTTGGGTGTGTGTGACTTTTTCTGGATCGCTGTCATCTGGCAGGTGTGACAGCACTTTGTCAGACTTTCTACCACTGTGCCCAGGCCCGGACATGTAATCAGCTCGCGCACGAAGTCGAGGGTCCGCTTGTACCCAGCGTGTGCCAGGGCCTGGTGTGCCTTGCGTACAAAGTCTCGCGCCGCCTCACGCGTCAGTATGGGCACCCACATGCCTACTGGCCCGGGCGTGTCACTGGGGGCCAGAGCGTACAATCGCCCGTCACGCAAGGCCTTCTTGCTGACGACATTGTATTCGGGAGTTGTCGGACCGTTGAGTGCCTCGCGTTGTTTGCACAGCTTGATCCAGGACTGGATCTCAGCATCGTCATCCTGGCAGTGCAGAAAGTCCGCGACATTCGGTAAGTCCTCTAGCGCAGACGCGATTCTTGCGAACTGCTGGCTCATGGATGCCGGTGTCGGCGCCACGGGCAGGGTAGTAGCTGGGTCGGGTGCAGGCATAGGGGCCGGCTCGGGCGCAGGGGTAGGGGTAACTGTTGCCCCCTGTACGGCATGCCTCAGTCTGCCGCGCTTGTGCCGGACGGGTGTGTTGAGCGCCACCGGCAATGCCGGCTCCTGCTCGGGTGCCATGTCTGTTGTCTGTGCACTGCGTCTGGGTCTACCGCGCCCACGCCGCGTCGCCACTGGGGGCTCTGCTGCCGGGGATTTGGCCTGTGGTACGTCTGGAGTCACCGTAGCTGCTGCTGGCGCCTCCACTGGCTTACGCCTGGGACGGCCACGCTTGCGAGGCAGGTCTGCTGGGGGTGTGGGTGAAGTTGACGCAGTGATGGTCTGTCCCTCACGCCGTGGCCTGCCGCGCTTACGAGCCCCGCTCACAGGGGGCGTTGTATGGGCCGTCTGCGGCATTGTGGCCTGGCCGAGGACGGGGTT